AAAAAAAAAAAAAAAAAAAAAAAAAAATATTAAAACAAATGAACAATTACGTATGTTCTTTCGTGGAGGCCAAGTTCAACTCGTGGCGAAAAAACAGAAAAGAAAGCGGAAAAAAAAAAAAAAAATAAATGCACATAAGATGTACACATAAACGTCATGTCGCCAATCGCGAGCAGCTGCCTTTCTCGCCGAAGCTCAACTTAAATTAAGCGAGAGGCATAGTCTTCTTTTTTTTTCCCCAACGGGGCAAACGCTGGAACGGGTGAATTGACACAAGCTGAGGGGATGTTTTCTTCCGCACGATGATCGATCTGCCAACAATTTTGCCTCCCTTTGGTTTTCCCAAACCCGGCAACAGTGATGTACCTTTGCGTTTATTACATCCCTCTTGTGCTTCATTATACAATTATGAGTGACAGCAAAAAAAAAAAAAAAAGGAACAACTGGTGCGATCATTTATATTCTTTGCTCATTTTTACACTTTTGCAGATATCCTGCACTGCATTAATATTATGTGCTGACGAAGGAGTTTTTTTTTTTTTTTTGTTCAAAGTGTGAAACTCGTTGTTTGGTTTCGCCAAATCAACGAATGTGTGTGTGTGCATGGAACTTCACTTATGTGTCATCTCACGAATGTAAAAAGTATACACATCATGCTTGGGGCACATGCCAGGCATGCAACAAAAAAAGGGTGGACACAGCAACAGCAGTTAGCAACAGCACTCGGCAGGCGTAGAGAGTGCGGACCTGCAGATGATGCAGCCCGGGCCCGCGCGTGCGGCAAATGATAAAGTGAAAAGACGCAAAAAAAAGCAAAGCTTCACAAAATGAAGGACAAATTGGAACGCATTCTCTGTCCAACCCTCTTCCTGTTCAAAATGACGCAAAAAAAAAAAAAAAAGATATTCCAAAAAAGGAACAACGGTATGCACAAAAAGGTTTTCCAAAAAAAAAAAAAAAAAAAAAATTTAATTTAAAACAGTGCGGTGTGGTGACATTATTGTGTACCCACTCGGCATACATAAACTCTGTTCCGCAAAATGCTTCCCACGCTGCATCCACCTCATCAGTCGGCGACTTTTTTCCTCTTGTTGTGCTCATCATCCGTTCTGTCGATTATTTTGTTGAAACTCCACAGCTGTTAAAAAGGGGGGGAAGCGGTGTGAGAAAAATGAGGCCAAGTAAAATCCACAAAAGGGAACATAAAAAGGGAATATATATACACTTGTACACATTTACATATCTCACTGGGCGGTTGCGCACCTCATTACGCCGCATACTCACCATGGAGGGGTTCGTGTATGCACGAAAGGAATCCTTGACCTGGGAGATACCTGCATCGATTTCCCTAACGTCCTTCTCGAGGTTCTCACAAAATTCTTCATCATCGTCAGACGAATCTATACAAATATCGTCCAAGTAAAACGTATGGTAGGGTAGCAGATAGGCCAGGATCTCCTTTGCATCATAGTACTTTTCATTGTTAAAAAAAATGTGAGAAAATTGTTTGTCCTTATTTGTGGTGCTTGAATAAATCTGCTTCCTGTCTTCGTGATAGTAATTCAGAACTCGCTTGCGCTCAGTAGCTAGCTTTTTTTCAAAATTCACAAGCTTAACAAAAGCCGTTTTTTCCAACATGTCTCTGTCGTTAATATAATTGTTTATGTTGTCACTGTGGTGGACGCTGAATTCTTTTTTGAGGAAATCTAATGTCTTCTCGTAGTAGTACTCGTTGCCCTTATCTTCTTCAACCTGAACCGTAGGGTTCACCACCTCCCCCTTCTGCTGAGCATCCTCATGGTTTTCTTTCCATCGAACCATCTTCCCTACGGTGTCTATACCTTTGCTGTTGTATCCTTCCTCCCCCACGAGACCTCGTCCAGACTCCCCCACCTGCTGCTTCCGATTCTGTTCCGCGTTACCCATTCGGTGGTGAGCATTTGATGCATCATTTGGTGAGAAGCCTGTGCCGTAAAATGAACCGTTCACCACTTCGCCGCCCTGAGCAAGTTTCCTTGCGCTGTTCACCCCACTGGGGGACTTGGCCAGCAGGTCCTCTTCGTACTTGTAATGACTGCCTGCATTGGCCTGGTCCATTTTGTTTGCGCCCCCTACGCCATTGTACATATTGAAGTAGGATTGATTAGTAGAGTAGTCTCCCCCTTTTTTCCTTCCACCAGCATTTTTGTTTTGTGTAAAATGTATATCATTTAATTGGTATTGGTAAGGGTGCATTAGGTTGTTTGGCAAATGTGGTCGTGTGCCTTGGGCTGGGGAAAATGCTTCAGAGGGGAAGGAGTAATCATGACTTTTATTCATTCCTCCAGGGGTAGTTACTACGGTCCGATTTGTTCCACTGTTGCTATTCACATGCTGGTCATACCCATATGGTAGGGTTGGCAATGAGGAGGCATTACCTGTGTATGGGTCTCCCACAATTTGATTATGATTGTAATTTTTATTATGCTGCATGTAGTTACCCTTTGGGTCGACATAAGTCCTACCCGTTTTGTCCTCAAACGATGAGACGTTTCCCTTTCCGTTGTTCATATGAAGATCGGTGGGTGTTGAATTAACATAATAATTTTGCTTAGCAAAATTGGTCATGTGTTTTTCTGCAGGGGGAAGATACTCTACATTGTGACCCACCCCATGGTTAGTTACGTACTGACTGGAGTGACCTCTACTTATGTTAACGTTACTATTGTTATGTGTCCTCCCATGACCCCCGCCACCATACGTATCATTGGCACTGGTGTCGTAAGTGTTGCATGGGTAGGATGGGTCTGACTTCATCTGCTTCACGTGTGAGTGGTAGAGCTCTCCATTGGGGTAGGCGTAGTTTTCCTTTTGTTGGCACATGCCAGGTCCACCAAACTGAGGGTCGAATTGGGGTGGGGGCATGTCAACAGGGGGGACCCCTACCGGGTGCACTCCTACCGAGTGAATATTCGAAGCGCTAGGTCCCGCTTCACCCACACCCGTTACGCCATGCGGAAAGTGCACCCCTGGGTCTGCGGGCTGGGTCATTAAACCATTTGCGCCCTTTTCAAAATCCATCTGTCTGACCGAACCATCCGCACGGCTACCCGTATTGACTTCTTCACAATTCCCCAAGGGGGGAGATATGTTAGTGCACCCCTCCTCCGTGTTAACGCCTTGGCTGTAATTCAGCCCTACGTCATTTGTCACAGGGGCGGAGGCTGTGTCATTTTCTTTTGGCCCTTCACTGTTGGGTGGATCTTCAGATTCCTTGCTGCTTTTCTTGTCACTCTGAAAAATTTTTAAGAAGTTCATTCTGTCCGTTGGGCAAAGGTTACACGTGGCGTTGTTTTGGTCAGGTGAGTCTGACGTCCCTTCCCCTTCAGCGTCGTCCTCTTGTTGGAAGAGTGTGTTGGGGGTGTGTGTTTCCACCTGGGAGTGCTATGCCCTTCACCCGTTACGCTTCTGAGGAGGTACCTATATCTAACTCAGTTCTTCCTCTTCAATTATAATATGTCCTTCTTTTACGTTCTTTTTTTTTTATTCTTTTTGGCTTGGCCGCGGATCATCTGGCTAGCTCATTCAGGCTGCATTAGTAATACAATCGGCAGAGCGTCGTCGATCATATGCACTTGTAGCAGCTTCTGTTCAGCCACCAATTTCAACCGCGTACATAATCACCATGGCAGAGTGACGCTACAACGACTTGTGACCACAAAACAGTTGTCACCGGGGTGGGAAAAAAAAAAAAAAAAAAAAAAAAAAAAAAAGTGCTGCAAAGCGAATCACAATATGAGAGACTGACCAGCCAAGTATTGCGTCCAATTGACTGGGGAAAATGCCACTCAAGAGCGGATAATAAAAACGGACGCCCTCATTCGTAAACATTCAAACATGCGCAGTTTTTTCACCTTATGCTGCCAAATGAAGAGTGAGGCGGCATTGTTTTTGTATCATTTTTCTCTACCCCCCTGTTCTTTTTTTTATTTTATTTTTCATTTCATTCGTACGTACAAAAATGATCCTTTTTTTTTTTTTTCATGCGAAGGGAAAAATAAAGGAAAAGAGTAAAAGGCGATTTTATTTAACAGGAGGTTTATATTATTTTCCTTTCGACCTGCGCGATGTTCAGTTGAGTGCAGGTGGCCAAAAATAGTTAGGAGAAAATATATATGCCGCAAAAAAAAAAAAAAAAAAAAAAAAAAAAAATATGCCCTATTGGGGCTATGCTGCATGCCGTTATGTGAGTAAAAAAAGGGAGCAAAAAAAAAAGACTCCCATTTTACATGTATTCGTAAAAGAGTTTTTTAAAATGCTTCCTCCCCACTTAATGCATATAAGCGCTTAATTTCAGAAAAGGCGTTCGAGTTGGGTAAAAAGTGATTTATCCCGGGGAATGTAGTCTCAACGGGAAAAGAGGCCACGACAAAACTGTTGTTGCATCCCCCAATGAGGGAATAAAACACGTCTCCTGTTCATTTCAACAAAGAAGTAAAAAAAACAAAGAAACAAGCAGTTGAAGAAAAGTGATAAAATGACGGGTGTTCTCGCTCAGCACGGCAACAAAAAAAGTATGCCACGTGTGCGATCTGCACAGGTGTATGTTATGCCTGAACGGGATATATCGGCGGGGTTATACCTTCCACACGTATACATCAGGCAGACCTCCTTAAAGGTGAGTGAGCCTCCGCCAATAGGAAAACGACACACATGCGTAGGAAAATGGATGAAACCCTCATCCACGCTGTTAACCAGTCGCGTTGTGCTGGGGGTGAAAACACCTATGTTGAAACAACCCCACGAATGAAACATTTCACGATGGAAAAAAAAAAAAAAAAATGCACCAATTCATATCCCTCATGAATACAAAAAAGGGTTTCAGAGTGACGTTTCCATGTCGAGCTTGGGTCGGTTGTACTCCCCTCAGGGTGGAAAAATAGGAGGGCAATTTTTAATGTCTTTTTTTTTAACTCATCGTACATTTGTTGACGATTGTCCTAATGGTGGCCGCTACGGGGGAATGGCCCTCTCTGATTGATGTGGTTCCTGGTAGAAGGGGCTAACCCACATGGGGCATTTTTTCACAGTCAATCTTGCCGCTCCCTTGAGGCTGATGGATCAGGGAGGGGAACTCTAAGTGGGAGAATTTTAAAATGGGGTCAGCTTCCACCCCGACCCTGCAGAGGACAAACCTGAACCTCAGACCCACCACACAACACACGTGATGGATATTGCGTAGGCTCGTCCTCCACCTTTACTTTTATCAAGTAACAGGTGTAGATGCGTAGCAATATGCCCCACTTAGTCATAATCATCGGCTTTGCGTTGTTTCTTTTATACGGAAGGATAATGCAGGTTGCGCTCTGCGATGGTGTTCTTTCATTGGTTACCCCTGGCATACGTACCTTCATTTGATGCACCCATTTAACATCCACACATTTCTAATTTCAATTTGGTTGCTGAACTCACTAGGGTTATCTTTTTTTTTTTTTTTTTTCCCCATCCCCTTTTTATAAGTATTCTCATTGCAGAGATTTCTCCACTGTTGGCAATTTTGCACTCGGCAATTTTTTTTCCGTGAGGTCATGTTACTTGTTTGCTATATTTATTCTGCGGTTATGCTCTTTTTTTTTTTTTTTTTTTTTTTTTTTTTTTTTTTTTTTTTT